GGTAGTCCACGAGAAGCAAAATTGTGAAGAAGCCAACGGGAAATCACTCAACTATCTCTTTGGTAATTACCAAATAAAACAAATGGTTATGTATGTTCTTATACCGGTGAACAAAAATATCAAAATTTTACAATATGATGAACAACACTTGACTTTCATATCAAAACTCGAATAAGTTATTGAAAATATTTTAAAGAAAAGCTTGTATAATCGGATGGAATTTGTACAGGTATATAGTTGACGTTGTATAATGCTTAGCAAGTTTGTTTCGCTGGTTCAATTACGACTGAATAGTGTGTTCGATTCTCATTCGTTTCACCCACCCACTCAAATATTTCAACACGGAAAAGCCAAAAAAATCAAGCGGAAATATAAAATTAAAGCAGTAAATAAAATTCCACCAATTGAATAAACAGAGAACGAGACGATGTGAAAAGCTTTTATTATATTCAGTGCTAAGGGAATAAATACTTAACACCAGGCGGATAATAGAAGAAAGGTTTATTGTACACAACGAGTACAATATGAAATACAGTACAGTTATACACACAGGACAATCTATTAGTGAGTTCCACTATTTGGAAGGTCGGACGTGCTTGCGTTTTATCGCTCTCATTCTTCCTCCCAGTCTCACATAGACAGTTGACTTTATAGGTATTTACTACCTATAGTTTAATCATTCATGGTGGGGGACTAGTTATTCCATTGTATCAGATTTGTAGGTTCAATCAACATGAGAAGATATTCCAAACGGACCTCAACAAGTTTTACAGTGAAATTGAAAAAGAAGTCCTAAAATTTTGGGAGAATATTTGAAACAACTCAAAGAAATACAATCCCAATGTAGAATGGTTCAAACAAGAACAAGAAAGAATGAAGGATTAACCTGTGCAAGAATAGAAAAATAAAACGAACGTATTAGGCAAGCTCTAACCAAATCGCCAAAATGAAAATCCCCAGCCAATAACAAGCTACTCAACTTTTGACAGTATCACATGTCATCAATTCATAAGTCTTTCAGAAAAATTATCAACGTTAATTAATAACCGCAATGAATTTACAGAAGGAATCACTGAAAACATTACATATCTCTTACCAAAAACAGGTGGAACAGATGATCCAAAAAATTATAAGGCAATAACATATCTGTCCATCTCATATATATTGATCTTGAACAGAACTCACTCTTTTCATCAAAAAGAAAAAGTCTTCCTCTTTAACAAAAAGGGTGTCGAAGAGGTTCATATGGTTGAAAATAAAACTACTAATAATTAAAATGATCTTGTAAGACTGTAGGATAAATGGTAAAAATCTCAGCACAGCTTGGTGAGATTACCGTAAAGTCTTTGATAGTGCGCCAAACTCTTGGATCCTTAAGGCTGTGTAAATGTACAAAGTTACCTCGGTGATTGTAAATTTCCTTAAATGAATCATGGGATAGTGGAAAACCACATTATACCTACATAATAGCAAAGGTACTGCCACATCCAGTCGTTTGAATATCCAAACATGAATCTTTCAAACAGACTCCCTGACGCCACTTCTGTCTGTCATTAATCCACCTTTCCCATAAAGAAAAGAGTAATAAGTATGAATAGAAACCAAAAAAGAAAGTGTTTCATCGCCTATTAAACATAGATGAGGTCAAATTCTTTGTCAAAGACGACAATGATTTGAAGGTTATACTCAATATTGTAAAATATTTTAGTGACGATATCGGTATAGATTTCGGATTAGATAAATGTGAAAAAATAGCATTCATGAAAGGGAAAATTACATAAACACACTCAATAGATCTAGATTCTGTTACAAAGATTAGGGAACAGAAACACGATGTTTATAAATCCCTAGGAGTAAACGAAGGGGCATAAACAAATGAAGAAGGAAGTAAGAAGATATACTACAGTCATGTCCGTCTGGTGTTAAATACTGAGTTGAATCCGAAAAACACAATATCAGGCATGGACACTTTGTCCCTGTGGTGCAATACAATTTCATCACCCTCATTCAGACGATAACTGACATTAAGCGAATAGATATAAAAACGAGAAAGCTTCTCACATGCCACCGCATGCATCATCCTAAGATGCTGGTGTTGATCGTCTTTATGTGTCCAGGTCCGAAGGGGCAGAGGATTAATTCAACTAGAACTCTCTTACAAAACCACAACAATCGGTCTTCAAAGATTCCTGGAAACTATAGAAGACTGGATAAGGATCTGTATCAAAGAACAGGAAAGAAATGAGAAACTTTATTCAGTAATAAAGGAAGCCAACAAATTCAAAAGGGAATTTCAAGTGGATGAAGAAGAGCAAAAAAAAAAACTACAATGAATCTACGGACAATTGCAAAGGACATAAAAAAGAAAGCAAAAGCAAATGCAATGTACCAAATGCAGAAACGATGGCAAGATAAGCCTATTCATAGTCAACACTCTGCCCGTAATAAACAAGCTGATGTAGACAAACCTCGTAACCAACACTAGCTACGGAGTGCAGGGCTCATAGTTGAAACTGAAGGTTTTATTCTTGTTGCACAGAAACAATGCCTGCCAACTAAAAATTACTAAGCATATATACTGAAAAATTGTGTTGACTCCAAATGCAGATTCTGTGACAAATATGCAGAAACAATTAACCACCTTGTATCCGGTTGCACGGTTTTAGCACCTGTTGAATATAAAAGTCGGCATGACAGAATGGAACAATATCTGCACTGGAAGATATGAACCATTTACGGGGAGAAAAATTTAAGAAACATCACGCAGATCCGGTTATAGAGATGGTAACTATTTTATGTGATTTTGCCATACACACAGACAGTAAAAACAACACTAATTACCAAGACATAGTGATCAAAGACCACAAGAACAGAATGTGATGCCTCATTTACACAGGAGATCCTGCAGACTGTAATGTATCTGAGTGTTGACATCAATGTACACTTTCTACATATATATATATATAAAGGCTTAAACACTAATATTCCACGGTCATCATATTTACGATTCCAATGGAATAAATTATGACCGTGGAATATTAGTGTTTAAGCCTTTTTATTATATCCTTACTCTGTCCTGGACATTGAGTTCTACCTGGATTCTAACCTCTTGGAATTATTTTTTATACAAATATATATGTTTGTGTATGTGTGTATGTATATATATTTATATATTTTAGATATATGATTGCATATGTATGTGTATATTTACCACTAATATTATCTATATATCTATCTATCTATCTATCTATCTATCTATCTATATATATATATATATATATATATATATATATATATATATATATATATATAAATGAACATTGAAGTCAACACTCAACACGTCTAGCAGGATACAGCCTCTCGCCTCTATGTGTTGACTTCAATGTTCACTTTTATATTTACATACGCTGTATCTCTGATATTGAGCACTTTATCCCATAAATATAGCACGCCATAAAACTTCATATATATATATATATATATATATATATATATATATATATATATATATGCATTCACACATATTTCTCTTTCTCACACTCTGTGTTTATATATAAAGTGTGAGAATCGCGCGCATTACCTATTGAAGGTCTATGTAGATCACCATCATGTGCCCGTTGCACAATCGGTCGTCAGTCACTGATGGAAGGCACTTGGCGGCTATGAAGGTTTTCGAATTTCAAATTACATATTGAATGTTCCCTCGGGAGACAGTTTAGTAATTGCGATCCAATCTCGGTACGCAGAGAAAATGGAATCTCATCAGACTACAGAAGGAAACGAACAAAGAAAAAAATAAAAGAAAATAGCAAAAAAAAAAAAAAAAAAAAAAATGAGAGAACTTAAATGAAAAGAAGAAAGAAATAATTTATATAGATCCAAGCTGCAAGCTTCTGTCACCTACGAATAGTTACCCTGTCGAGCCGGCTTTGGAGATTTCACCCCGACGCTAGAAGATTCTTTGTGAAATCCAAGATAATTTCGTGCAGGGTGCAATATTGCTGATACGAACAAAATCTTGTGGCCCTCGCTTTCCTAATCTGCTTCTCTGCGACCCTTAAATCACTGTACGTTGCTATAGAAACATAGATTGAATCCTTTTTTTCTCCTTTACTGTTACCGGTCCCTTCGCTACAGATATTTCACCACTACCGTTTATTTCTGCATATTTTCTTCTTCTTCGCTGTCTACGGAGGTAAATTACTAGTGTGGTCACTAAGGAAGATATCATCTAAGTAAGCTCAACTCAAAATTTGTGGTAACGAATTGTAACAGCTTGTAATTATCTGTAATTGTTTCACTGTTTCTTAATAAAAAGCCAAATTACATGCGATGATCTAGAGAAGTGATTTTCACGTAGATAACAGATATAAAACAGATTGACGCGAAAACAATCTTTCCTGCATTTACAGTAATTTCTTCCTTTACAGAGACCGGGGGTTAGTCGAGGTAGAGGGGTTAATCAAGGGGTAGTTTGTATGGATAGAGATAACGGTTAAATCTAGATTTAAACACGTTAAGATTGTAGCGGTCTTGGGCGCCTGTTCCATAGGGCAGTGTTTCGCGGGAAGAAGCTGTTTCCCGCCGATGGAATACGCAGGGAAGGTGGGTGGTTTGTTACTATGTAAGTTGCATAGCGGGTCCTCTCCGTGAAGATTACACCTGGCAGAACCAAGGAATCTAGTTCGACTGAGCACTTTCCATGGAAATAATGATAAAGTAGTCGGCACTTTCGAGTTGACTGCACGGATCGACATCCACAATTTGAAGACAGAGGGGAAAACAGCCAAAACGCTGTGATAAAAACAAGAAAGATGAGGACAATAGTCCGCATGTAAATTGCGTAAATAGTGAATTTTGTGTATCTCAAAAAGTATCGATATATTACTTTTTCTTATTTAAACGAAAATCATGAATATTATTTAATAGTAATAGATAATAAATAGATCGTAATTAGCATTACAAATTAAAATGAAAAAAGTGAAGAATTAAAATTAAAATTAAAAAGAGAAAAAATAAACAAGGTGTGCGTGTATATCTGTGTAGTGAAAGAGAGAGAGAGAAATATGTAAATAAGGTCTGATAGAGAAAAAGAGATAAATAAGGCCTGACAGAGAGAGAGAAAGAGAGAAAGACATAAGGCCTGATAGAGAAAGACATAAATAGGCCTGATAGAGAGAGAGAGAAAGACATAAATAGGCCTGAGAGAGAGAGAGAGAGAGAGAGAGAGAGAGAGAGAGAGAGAAAGAGATAAATAAGGCCTGATATATAGAGAGAAAGAGATAAATAAGGCCTGATAGAGAAATAAATAAGGCCTGGTACATAGATAGATAGATAGATAGATAGATAGATAGATAGATAGATAGATAGATAGATAGATCTCCTGAAAATAATGATTGCTGAGTTGAAAAGAATTGCATTAAAGTAAACTTAAGTCAGGTATAAACGAACATTTAACACACACACACACACACACACATATATATATATATATATATATGTGTGTGTATGTGTTCACACACATATATATATAAAGGATAGAAAAAGAATTATAACAATTATTTATTTATTTTCAAAATAGGATCGTCCAAAAGTAAGGGACAAAATTGAGAAAAACAATGTAAACAGTATGCTATATTCAAATGTTTTGATTTCCTCTAAAGAATAAGTCTTACTTAGTCATTTGTAAACGTTGCATCAGCCGGCACCATGGCGAAACGCCAAACACTTGATTACTCTGTGAGACAAGCTATTGTGAAGCTACACAAGGAAAAGCACACCATTAGAGAGATTTCAGAGAAAGTGAAACGTTCCAAGAGTGTTGTAGGCAGGGTTGTTAAATTCTACAATGATACTGGCAAAATAGTTAGTGCTTTTAAAACCGGCAGACCCCGCAAAACTTCGGCAAGAGAAGATCGAATAATGCAGCGTATGTCATTAAAGGACCGTTTTATGTCTTGCACAGAAATTAAAAGGGTTATGAATAGTACCTCATGTGTTAATGTGTCAAGACAGACTGTTTGTAGAGGACTGCAAGAAATAGCGCTGTTTAATCGAACCCCAGGGAAGAAACCACTTGTTAGTTCGAAGAATAAGAAGAAGAGTTTGCAAACAGGTATGTAATTTGGACATATGAAAATTGGGCAAAAGTATTTTTCAGTGATGAAAGCAAGTTTAATTTATTTGGAAATGATGGAAAAAACAATGTAAAGAGACGCATTGGTGAAAGATTAAGTGCAAAGTGTACTAAGAAAATTGTCAATTTTGGGGGCGGAAGCGTCATGGTATTTGGAATATTTTCTAGCCAAGGTATAACGCCTCTTGTCCGGTTACAAACTCGTGTAAACGCGCAGATCTATAAAAACATTGTTCAAGATCATGTTGTGCCAATCATAGAGAATTTAGGTTTCGATAGGGCTACCATTATGCAAGATAATGCCCCATGTCACAAGGCAAAGGTGGTAATGAGTTACCTTAGCGAGCAAGATTTGGAAATTATGGATTGGCCACCGCAAAGTCCTGACTTAAATCCAATAGAAAATCTTTGGAAGACCTTAGGAGTGAAAGTTATGGACAGAAATCCCACGAACACGGAGGATTTGTGGGTGAAGCTTCAAGAAGAATGGTCTAAAATTAGTATCGAGGATTGTCAAGAACTGATTCGTTCTTGTAGTCGAAGATGTGCAGCTGTCATTGAGAGCAAGGGCTCATTTACTAAATATTGATTGTACATGTATTTTTATTGTTTTTTGCCGTTTACAATTGTTCTTCTAATTTTTGTCCCTTACTTTTGGATGTTCCAAATTTGAAAATAAATAAATAATTGTTATAATTCTTTTTCTATCCTTTGCAAATGATTCAAATTTTAGTATGTTATTATGGATGATAACGACTACCAGTTGTCAAAATTTCAGCTTTTCACAGTTGTTATTTCTAACAAATATTAGGTTTTAATATTTTGTCCCTTAGTTTTGGACGCTACTGTATATATATATATATATATATATATATATATATATATATATACATGTGTGTGTGTGTGTGTGTGTGTGTGTATGTATGTATGTATGGGGTAGGTATGAGAATCCTCGGGTAAGCTGAGTGAGTGCAGTAGGCTGATCATGTAGCAAGAATGGGTCGAAATTTTCACCCATATTCGCTGTTATCCTGGGATTTAGCCTATGGCAGACGGTGAAGCAGGGCCTCCTTGAATGGATATATAGACTCTTAAAAGAACCCAGATCTCCGGCGGATTCCGCCAGCAGAATTATGAAAATGCAAGCAGGTGACAATGACATACAGAGACGCAAGTCCCCATCGTCGAATAACGCCAACAAAAGTGAATAAGAGAAAACAGGTTGATTCTTAAATTCGGAACCTCTGTCGGTTGTCCGTTTCTCTCCTGAAGATGAATCGGTACAGCTTGACTCTCCTGCATACTAATTACACGAAAGTCTGCAGTGGACATTGAAGATATTATATGCTTCAAGACAATCTATATCATATCAAAACAGTATAATCTGTTAGCTTTTTTATGCTTGATTGTTTTCCTAATGAAATCTGTTTTAACAGTAAATATTCTTTCTTTTTATTCACCATGTCCTTTCAGGATGTACGCGATCATGGATCTCAATCTCCTATCACTCGCAGCTCTTAACAAGTTCCTTTCCAATGCCATCTCTCCAGACCACATCCTGTCATCGACTTACTCAAGCCCACCATATATGTCATGCGTTGTTTTCCTTTGACACTCTTTCCCTCTATTCGACAGGTGAGTATCAAATTCTCCAGACCCTCTTTCTTCATTATATGTCCCATATACTTCAGCTTCCTCTTCCTGATGTCAAGTATAAGATTCCTCCTTGTGTGCATCCTCTCTAAGACTTCATTGTTGCTCACACAATCGGTTCATGATATCCTTAGCATCGTTCTGTAGAACCGCATCTCCGTCGCCTCGAATCTCATCTTCATCTTTGAGGAAATCTTCGCTGCTGTAAGGAAGGACAGAAGTCACGTAACAGCTCAGTATTCTTTTCTTTGTTACCGAAGAAATTCTCTTGTCTCTCAGGACCCTGCCCAGCTAGAGGGCGCACCAGAATAAGACCAGAGATAGGACGAGAACAGTGCGGGTTCGTTAAATACACCGGAACAAGGAACGCGATGTTCATGCTCAGAAAGAGCGATACAAATTCAGAAGGATGTTTCATAGACTACGCGAAGGTCTTCGACAAATTACGCCACAAGGATCTGCTGGAACTGCTCAGCAACCTTGACATATTCTGGAAAGATTTCAGAATAATCAAGAACCTGTACTGTCAGCCAACAGAATGCATACGCATAGACAACGAGTTCAGCGAATATACACAAATAGAAAGGGGCGTAAGGCATGGATGTGTCTTCTCACCCGATCTGTTCAAACTATACAGCGAGGCAATTCTGAGAGAATTGGAAACACGAACGGGATTTAGCATTGGCGGCCACAATCTTAACAAGATACAAAGATGACACAGTACTGATAGCAGACACGGGGAAAAAATAGAAAATCTCCTACAGAAGGTAGCGACGGAGAGTGAGAAGAAAAGACTAAGCATAAACTACAAGAATGCATGTCATCAGTAAAAGAATGAGCCCGAAATGCGATTTGCAGGTCGGGAACACTAGAATCAAGGAGACGTGGAATTATCTGGAAAGCGTTTTGACGGTAAGTACAACACTGAGACCTTTGGGACGTATTGGGGATGGCCAAGGACGCATCCCAGAAGTTGAACAGCAAATATCACTGAATCTTTCAGCTTATATAAATATGTATAATTCGACAACATATAAACCCAATTCATAAATACAAAGGCAACGTTTAAAGGATATAGTGTTTTTTTTTTGTTAAAATCATTTCAGGCCAATCAACAAAGCCATTAAGACGCAGCGGATCACTGAATGTGAAAGAATATAAGAAAAGCAATGTTAAAGAACGAGAACAATAAAAGAACATAAAGATTGAGTTAAAACTGTGATAGAGTCTTCCAGTCGTCGTCATTTCAATCCCTGGAGTTGGTAAGGAAACATCCATTCAGAAGAATTCACACAGCAGGGAAAAATAACACAAGAGTCAATAGTTATCCCATATTTTGACAATTGCTCATCTAAAAAATGAAATTAAAATATATATCCTATTGTAATTGTGCTTTACCTTCACATCGTTGATTAGCACGACCCTTGTGTCCTGTCAATACCTCATACTTAATGGACGATTTAACGTTTAGTCGCGGGGAAAGAGGGGAAAGGACATCACTTAGTTTCAGTGAAACAAAGGAATAAAGAAATAAAGAAAGAGAAAAAGAAAGAAAGAAAATGAAAGAAAGAAAGAAAAAAGAAAGAAAGAAAGAAAGAAAGAAAGAAAGAAGGCAAGATGAGAGTGGAGACACAGAATCATACTAAGCTGATGAGAACAAAAAAGAAGAAAAAAGAAAAAGTAAGAACGAAAAAAAGAAAGAAAGAAAGAAAGAAAAAAGAAAGAAAGCCATCAAGCAAGCAAGCAAGGAAGGAAGGAAGGAAGAAAGAAAGAAAGAAAGAAAGAAAGAAAGAAAGATAAGAGTGGAGACAAAATCAAGCTGATAAGAACACATACTACACTCTGAACGAGGGTATTTTTAGCGCCTACGTCGCTATCAAACGTGGCACAAGGTCGAAGTTTAAAGTGGGTTTAACGGTAATACCGGGCAAAAATTGCCCATGCTCCCTAGGCACATCACCTTGTGGGTACACCCCAGGGGCCGGGCAATAAACCCAGCACCTCATAAGGGAGTCGATCTGCCCTGGGAGACGGCACCTTGGGGCTAGCGTATAAAATTATTTGAGACTTCCCGAGCCAAATGGCTGAGAAGCCATAGCGACAGCGATCAACCCCAAAATTTTCAGATTCACAGTACCGAACGAGGGAAACCGAGTGAGGCACAAAAACTAAAAAAAAAAAAAAATACCATAATTAAAAGTACATCGTTTACAGAATTGTTTTTAAATTATTATTATGAGAAACGTTCGTGAAGTCGAGGATTTGAATAGATAGAAAGAAAGCAAGCAAGCAAGAAAGAAAGGAATAAATAAATAAATAAAGAAAGAAAGAAAGAAAGAAAGTGTTTAACGTCTCCTGCCAGTACCTCATACATAATGGACTATTTTGTCTTGGTCGCGTAGAAAAACAAGACATGAATTAAAGAAAGAAGGGAAGATAGATATGTTTAATGTCTGTTTAAGTGCAATGGAAAATTCATATATATGATTGTTATTGCAATATGTTGTTAAGGTTGTTTGGCTCAAATATTTTCACGCTGCCATTTTATTGTTGTAGGACTTGCCATGAGTTTATTCAATCGTTACCTGAAGAATTAAGAGTCATCAGAATATTAAAATAGTAAAACTGTTAAATTTTCACGGGTACTTCTATTATATCTGAAAAATATAACAAGTGATTTTCAATTTACCCGTTTTTCATAGAATTACTTACGGAATCTGATAAGGTCTTTTGTAATTTTATTATGCAAATTAATGTAAGTAAATATACTTCTAATTTTAGATAGAAAAACAAGTTCACGAATCACAAGACTGATACAGTAAAAAAAAAAGAAAAAAGTACTTAAAATGTATTGACTGTTGGGAACATATGTTTGGAAATTTCAAAATATCGAATCCATTCTTAAAGAATCTAACGTATGTTTACATAAAACAAAAAGTATGCATATAAAAACATTTCCAAATGAACATGCGTAAAACCAACAAACATAATGTCTACTACACACACACAGATACACGCGCGTGCGTATACACACACACACACTCTTACGAATATGCATTATCATCTGAATCCCACATAGACAAACAAGAATTATTATATCTACATTGCATATAAAATGAGTCCCCGCCTATTCGCGTTTCAGCATTCGCGGCTTCACAGATTAGCGGATTTTTCTTTAGAACATATGTACTTCTTATTCAAGGCAGTCCCGAATATTCGCGTGTTTTTCTGAAGAATATATGTACAAGTTATACGCTGAGAACTCCCTCGATTCGCGTATTCTTTTGAGAGAACATATTTAAAATATTCTTGTATTATTTTCCTGTTATTTAAGTGACTTAAAATATATTACAGCCCATTTGTATGGTAAAAATTGACAGAATAGTGCGTAGTGCTTGGGCTTTGTTCTTTGTTAGGGGCTGCGGCTGGGGTCTTAAAAGTGGTTTATTCTAAGTCCGGGGGTATCCTAACATTTCTACTTTTAGAAAAGGTTTTAAACTTTATATTTTATGTCTTGTTACTCATATTTTATACAGTATTTTCAGTGGTTGTATCGATCTATGCGTAATTAAAAACGGTTATTGTACGTAAAATTTACGCTAAGTGTATGGTCACCATTACTATTTTTCAAAAATGTTTTTAAAAGGGTCTGAAATGTTTCCAAAGTGTTTAGGATAAAAGTTTAAGGCATATGGGGTTTGAAGAATCAAAATAGGTACTTATAAGTACTTTTAGGAGGGTTACAATTATTCGCGGGTTCTAACAATTCGCGACCGGTTCTTATCCCTAACCCCCGTGAATACGGGGGGCTCACTGTATTTAAGATCCTTCAGTTGGGATTGGAATCCATCAAGTTCTTGAAACTTCGAATTCACGAGTCGTCTTCTTCTTGAATTCGGAAAGTCACAAGCTGTACTAACGTTTGTTTAACAAGTCGAATGCACGCGAAACATGATTAACCAATGAAAATCAATCTATAATGCACGTAGAACTTGACGAAAAAAGAAACTGAAAACATTGGCGTGATAGAATCTGGACATTTAGCTTTAATATCTGAAAATAAATTTGACAAAGGTCAAAATGGTAATAAGAAATAGAAATTGATTGACCAGTGATGTCTGCGAGGGTAAACCGATTAAAGAAACAGAAGATTAAAAACAATGGTTAAAGAGATGCAATCAGCGATATTACCCCATTTAAGGAAGCGTTACAAATATAGCCAATTAGACGAACGAAGACATGAAGTCTAATTTCTCAACAATAATTTTTCGCTGATGAATAAAGAGCTATATTAGATTGGGATGGCAGCTGGTAGGGGGGGTCTCATGTTTTTCATAATCAATTACAGTTGTCCGCAAAAGAAACAGCTGGGCACGCAAATTACAAATTGGAAATTCCGAAATTAAACGAGTATAAAAGTTTAAATATTCAGGAAGTGTTTTAATAGAGGACGGAAACGGCGAAGGCGTATTGGGATAGCGGAAGAAGCTCACCAAAAGCTACGCAAAGTATTAAGAAACAGGAAAATTTCAAGGAGACAAATAAAAGGGTACTGGAGATTTACGTAATGTCGACCCTCTTATTTGGTAGTGAATGATGGACAATCTCATCGAAGATGATAAAGAGATTTGAGGCAATAAAAATCTGATTGTACAAAAGGATACTGAGATTAACATGGACAAAAAAATAAATTTGACAAAGGTCAAAATTTTAATAAGAAATAGAAATTGATTGGCCAGTGATGTCTGCGAAAGCAAACTGATGAAAGAAACTGAAGATTAAAAACCTTGGTGAAATGTGAGTAACAACGAGGTTTTAGAGAGACTGGTTGCAAAGTGGGCACTGACACTTAACATGAGAAATAAACAGTTGAAATTTCCAGGGCAAATAATGAGGTAAGTGAGATTAGAAAGTTTGACACTCAAAGGAAACACTGAAGACAAAAGGGGCAAGGAAAAACAGCACATAACTTAGCGAACGAGTCTCTGTAGTGATATTCCAAGCGTAGCTTAGATGTGACCAATGGCCGAAAGTATGGGGCAACCAGTAAGGATCGAACTCACTACTCATTCGTAATTGTTTTAGAGAGACAAGCTTGCTAACCATTTCACCACCTCGAAGCACCCCGAACGCATCTGTGTAAATGGTTGATAAAACATTGATTAGTATATATAAACACTACAAATAACAAATAACAGGATATTAAGGAGAGTGATGCTATTGTGGAGACTTGTCGTAAAGAAGGAAAAAAAGAAACAGTAAACCATTTTCTTTCATTTTTCTTTTCAAGATGTAGGCTGTCATGGTCCTCCACAACTTCCTGTCACTTGCGGATCTTATTTTTTTTTTGTTATTTCTCCCAAACCCTGTTCTGCCATCCATTTACTCAAGTCAGTCAAGTATGTCCCACGCGGTTCCGCTTTGTATCTCTTACACTCAATGTGTCCTGTGAGAATCATAACTTCCAAGTCCACCTTTCTCATTACGTCTCCCAGAAATTTCAAATAACTAGGACAACTCAGGAAAAAAAACAACGGGTAAGTGGATGAATGTTTTTTACTAGTATTACAGACGGTAGAATAACAGGTCCCTTCAAAATTGGGTATTGTATCAAGGTAAATGTAGAGAAATAAAGCGTGTTCATGGACAAGTTATTTTGCCAGTTATAAGTCACCACTGTAAGCTTTAATCGTATATATTCAGGCAAAGCAATTCTTCCAACCTATATTAACAAGCAAAAAACTAAAAAAAATGTAGCCTATGAGGAAAATCTGAGCGGAAAACAAGATTCAAACAAATGTTTCTTGCAAACAATTAAACAAAAGTTGAAACCTATGTTAATGCCGAAAAACAAAAAAACAAAAAAAAAATGCCGAAAAAAAAAAAAAAAAAAACGACTGAGTTTGAAAAAAGACAGTGAATGAAAAAGAGGGAGCAAATAGTAGAATATCAACATCCTATGTGAACATATCGAAACTCTATGGAATTGAATGTTAATCCATTAGAAGTTTTTGGTGTAATTTGTCTTTTCGATTGGTTTCAAAAAGAAAAGTGTTTTTCTTACTTTTGCTATTCAAACCTGTCACAAGTAAAACAAGATTTTGTCAATGTTTTTAATGAGAATAGATAAATTGAAAAAAAAATACTGTTTTGCTCATACATACATACATACATGCACACAAAAACACACACACACAAACACACACACACAAACACACACACACACACACACACACACACACACATATATATATATATATATATATATATATATATATATATATATTAAGACACTTTTTATGTTTATACGTTCTTTTTATAGATACAAATATTTTAGTAAATGCTCAGTATTAACATCATTTACCGGACTGAATGTCCGAGAATATATATATATATATATATATATATATATATATATATATATATATATGTATGTGTGTGTGTGTGTGTGTGTGTGTGTGTGTGTACTGTAAAATTTCAGATATAACTAATAGATGCGTTTCGTTTGCTGAAGAATATTATCAGGACATTATCGGAAGAAGAAATGCGTCGGCTAAAATGTTTCCTTTTATCTTATCTATATATATATATATATATATATATATATATATATATATATATATATTATGAAATCGACAAAGTCCGACAATTATTTTTACGACATTTTTATGTTTAACATTCTTTTTATACTTAAATATTTGTATCTATAAAAGAATGTTAAACATAAAAATATCTTAAATATATATATATATATATATATATATATATATATATATATATATATATATATATAGATATGAAAAGTGTATAAAATTTAAATAAATATATATATGT